CTAGCGGTGAAATGTGGCGGTTTTTAACTGGAGTCAGCCAGCCTTCCAAAAGAAAACTCGTCGAACTGGAAGAAAAACCACCAGGACCAGTGGCAACCAGAAGATTTTGTGAAAAGTGGCGAAATGGAGACGGCGGAGTCGTGAGACAATGGCTACATTATGATGGCCACGTAGCGTTGCTGCCTTTCACAGACAACTGGCCCTCGGCATTCTTCAAATATCCAAAAAAAATGCCCGTACTTCCGACTTTGTCTTCTTTGAGGGATAATAAATGTCCCAAGTGCTGCCGTCTCCTCTGGCCATTGTTTCAGCTTTAGCTTAAAGAAAGTTTTGGTCGTAAACAACAAAGTGCGCATGTGCCGCCGGCAACTTCCAACAGATGATACGGTGGCTGGTAAGGGTCACCGCGCCTACACCGCAGCCACGGTAATCCACCGAGATATTTTTTTAAACAAGACTGTTATTATTATTGTCAACTTTTTTTTTACCGGGGTTTACTGCTACACCGGTTACCGTGACAACCCTAGCCCTGACACACTTTCAGATATTCTCATGGTGCAGCTGTGTTCTCCAGAGATCAAGGACTATGACCCAAATGAGGCTGTAATGCTTTGGCACAAAGACGGTGTCAGAAGCAGGAGGCCAGACTTCATGGACAGAGAAAACAAGGAGTCTGACTAGATTTCAATGAAAGAGTTCACAAAAACATCTCTAAAACTAAAAAAATAAATAGTAAAAATGACAAAAGAGTTGTTTTTCTTATTAATTGATGTTTTAATTATTTTGTCACTGTTTGGAATCAACATAATATAGAATAACATGCTTTAGGTAGATCTAAATCATTTAGAATTTTGGCCGGTAAAAAATATGCTTGGCCGGTAGATTTTCATCATCTACCGGCCAACTTGGCCGGTGAGTAAAAAATTTAATTTCGGACCCTGGATACAGGTCATCTGTCTGGCAGTATTTTGGCTTTCCGGTTAAAAAAGACAATGACGGCAATAGAGTAACGGAAAAGACCAAGACTGTGTGTAAGCTATGCTATGCTGTCATTCCGTACACCACCTCCAACACAACAAACATGAACCACCACCTTCAACGTTACCATAAAAATGTGAAGACGGCCTTGGCAAAAACAAGCCTACCGAGAGGACAGCTGACCATGAAACAAGCACTGACACCAACTCTACCTCCGTCAAGTCCACGTGCAAAACAGATAACCCGGCTCATTGGTGAGTTCATAGCGGACTACATGGCTCCATTTAACATAGTAGAGAACAGAAAATTCATCCAAATGTTCAAGGTGCTGGAGCCCAAGTTTAAGATGCCATGCCGAGGACATTTTTCAGAGAAGGTAATCCCGGAAATTTAGAATGAAACGAAACAAAGCGTGAAAGAGTGTCTAAAAAATGCCAACTGCGTCGCTCTGACCACCGACAGCTGGACCTCGCATGCAACACAGAGTTATGTCACCATCACGGCACAAGTCATCAACGAAAAATGGGAGAGTAAAAGCTTTGTGTTGCAAACTCGTGAGCTAAGTGAAAGTCATACTGGTGTTAACATAGCTCAAGTGTTGAGAAATTCACTGAGTGAGTGGGAGCTAACAAGGCCACACACAACCATTGCTTGTGTCACAGACAACGCGAGCAACATGGACATTGCTGTGAGAGAGAGCGGTCTCCACCCTCACATCAAGTGCTTGGTGCATGTTGTGAATCTGGCCAGTAAGAGAGGCTTGGCTGTATCCCGCGTTGCACGCCTTGGTCGTGTGCGAAGAATAACTACATTTTTTCACAAGAGCACCACGGCCACCGCAGTACTGACCAACAAGCGAACCCAGTTGGAACTGCCTCGGCATAAACTCATCACCGATGTCCAGACCAGGTGGAACAGCACGAACGAAATGCTGGCGCGCTACCTGGAGCAGCAAGCAGCTGTCTCAGCAGCGTTGAGCTGCCCAGAAATCCGAAGGAATGCGAGAGAAATCGACACTCTGGATCACACTGATATATCAGATGTAGAAGACATAGTGAAACTGCTTAAGCCACTGAAGACAGCCACAACTGTTGTCTGTGATGAAAAAGAGCCCACTGTTTCACTGATAATGCCACTGAAGTACATGATCGAGCAAAGCATGTCACCAAACGAAAATGACACACAGACCATCGCCAACATGAAAAGCGCCATCTTACTCGACATCTCGGACCGATACACCGGAGACTGTAATGACGTGCTGCAGGAGTGCACAGCGCTTGACCCACGATTCAGAAGCCTGTCCCATCTGAATGATGAACAACGTGAGTCCATCTATGCCCGAATATGTGAAAAAGCTTCAGCACTTCATGAGCAGCGCAACCAGGTAGGCTAACTTTTATTGGAAAGAAAAAAAAATTGAGGTTTCCTGCTTCATGTGTGTAACTCTGTATGTATGTGCAGGCCAGAGTCTGAAAACTTATTTCTCATGTTTTTTTTTATTAGTCGATCAGAGAGAGAGTGAATGAAAGTGAAGGACAGAAATGTTTAACCTGTTTTTCTATTTTATTTATTTTCAGATACACTGGTTAATAAGGGTGTTCCTGTTTGTGTTTGGCCTGTTAGGCCTTGTGTTTCTCTGTGTGCAACTGGAAAAAATTAACAAGTTGTTATTATACAGTAATATTTTTTTCCCTTTTTTTCTGATTTGATATTGTATCATGACGTATCGTTTCGTGACTCAGACATATCAAGGTGCATCGTATCGTGAGTTTAAGTAGATCGTCCCATTCCTAGTGCGAACCGGAAAAGCTTCTGCCGATCACAATTCAACAACGGATTATGAAAGAATGGATGATGCTCAAAATGTGCAGATTGTTCCTGATTGTAGTCTCCTCTTTGTTTTGGTAGTTTTGGCGTTGAAATCATCCTAGCGCACAACGTTCTGTGACCCTTAAAAAAACAGTAAAAATGCTGAGAAATGGCAGTGAATGACTTATTAAAATATGCTGTTTAAATCTTGTAAATCAAATTTAAAAAGTTAATAGCTAAATTTAAATCCTAAACATACTATGTTTAGATTCTGATTTTGTTTTTGTTGAGAAATATTTGCGCGATGGACCTGTTGTCTGTGAAAGCAGTCGGCTGGCAGAGCGGTCTGTCAGTTTGTAGCTTAACATTCGTGCGTGCATTTGTGTGTGTGTGGAGATCCATCCAAAAAGAGATGGTGCATTATATTAGAAAATATGGCAGAAAAGGTACCAACATCGAATAGAAAATGTAAGATAATGTGAGTGTTTATGGTTGATTGACACAGTATCATTATGCCTTGTGTTACACCATGTTCTTAAACCATCAGGTTCTGTGACTCTAGAGGAAAGCTTGAAGAAAGGGGGGTGAAACGTAGTCTGCTTGAACAGCTTCTCCCAAGAACATCCTCTCTACCTGTTTGTTTTACAGAGTTTTTGTCCTCTTACACACTTTAATGTACTCCTTATCAGATGCTGCTGTGAGGTCTAAAACATTATTTACGCTATCTCCAGATCCTAGATTCTAACTCTTAATATCTCACCTTAGAAAGGTCATAAGCTAAATTACAGCATGATGTTTCCAAAAGATTACTTTAAAAAGATGGTTTCTTCAACCTTTTTTCACCTACAATCAAATTAAAGGACAGAAATGGGAAATTAAAAGCCAAGTGAGGCCAGGATAAGACAGAGCCTAGCAAGACTTTGTTGTTGGTTTTTAACCTGCCTTAAATACATAAACAATAAGAAGCAGTAATTACAACAATTCTGTGCGTCGTTGACATCCTGTGAATTAGTCCTGTCTAATGTGGCTCCAACCAGCTTCACGTGTGGCTTTGGTTGCAACTGGCGGGGCTCTAAATCTGACAAGCTCGGACAGGTCAGGCAGTGGGGTGGAGGGGTGTCGCCGGAGGGTGGAGAGAGGTCAATGAGAGTGCTGAAGTGTGCTGCTTATTGGGTCAGCAACATGTGGTTTGTGTGTCGGCGTGTGAAGGCTATATAAAGTGGTTTATTGCGTTTCCAAAATGACGTGTGCTTGGGCAACAGTTCGGGTGTGCAGCATTGTAACTGTTGCATGGAATATAAACGTTAGCAACATATTTTCTCGATTTATTAAATGCATAAACATATATTCACTCTGTAAAATGTGGGGCACACACCGTATAGTTGTAAATAGCAGAAGTACAACTATGTGCTTGTTTCTTCTTCTTCACTAAGCACAATAAAACAGCTTCTTGAACTCTCTGGACAACCTCATCTAAGCATGTAGGGCAACCACACATCACTCATCTAGCAGCCCTGTTTCTCCAACTCCTCACCCAGAAACCTGCAAGCTGGTTGGGGTCAGTCTGTCTTTTTAATTGAGCAGAATGGGGCTCCGGCCAGGAAGGACCCAAGGAGGTAGGAGGAGGAGAGGGGATGCAGCAAAGGAATGCAGGGGGTCTCCGTGTGTGTGTGTGTGTGTGTGTGTGTGTGTGTGTGTGTGTGTGTGTGTGTGTGTGTGTGTGTGTGTGTGTGTGTGTGTGTGTGTGTGTGTGTGTGTGTGTGTGTGTGTGTGTGTGTGTGTGTGTGGAGGGGGGTGGCTTTATAAACATTCCACTCTTCACAGTGCTCCTATTCATGCGTCACTACATTAAACAATCTGTTTAAAACACATTATTACACACGCAGGTGTTTTAATATTGCTATTTGGACAAATATGTGTGTTTATAAATGACACAACTTCAATAAACACCTGGAAACTAAACATCACACTCTATTGTCCACCACAAAATTAAATGACTTGACATTTACATTAAAAAATTTGCGAACTGAATTGTTCCCACAAATATGTCATTAATGTCAAATCTCTGATCGGGCTGCTTGTTTCCCTTTTCTTTAGCTAGCGATGTCGCCGTATCAGTTTGTAACTATAAATTAACATTGTCGAGCTTTTTACAGTGAGTTTGAGTGTTTTATTATGTGTTAAGAACAAAAAGTGTAAGTGCAGAGACTTGCCTGGTTTGGTGATGCTCTGGAAGTAAAGAACAAGCACGAAGAGCGAGCACAGGCAAGTCGCCAGGAACAGACGTCCTCCTCTGGGCATCCCCATCATGAAGTCCCGCTCCACCGGCGGAGCCCCCGACCCCTCGTCGATACCGCGCCACGGTTCATACGTGACACATCGGAAGGGAGGTGCGACACGCTCGAATAAAGCAGGGACCTGTTGATTTTCGGGGAATAATACTACTGCTGATAGAATGGAACAACCAGGAGCAGCGAGGACGTCTCTTCTTTATGTGAGCGGAACTTAAATCCAGAACAGCTAACGGTCCGTTCGACCGTTCTTTTCGCACAGTTCTGGTTTCTTAATAATAATTTAGCCTCAAGCAACAAGTAGAATAATCTTTCTTGTAAATACTTCAGGTTTTAAATCCAACAAAAAGTCAGGAACCGGACCGACTCCGTTTCCGCTCGCCTCGTTGCCCGCATCTCCAGTATGGTGTCTCAGAAGTTTGTCGAAAAACTTCTTCTCCTCCGGCCAATCATGACGTCACATTCTCCTTCTGCCGCTCACGCGCCCACTCTTTCCTAAATGCTGCATTCATACACCCTCGGAATTAGGAACACTACGCTCAAACGTAATATGTCTGTGTAATTTACGGTGCGTTTTATTGTCATCGTGTATTTCAAAAAAGGAAAAACGCATAACTGTTCATTGAGAGACTATTGCGATTTTAAAGGAGATAAGTTTAGGTGCAGCTACTATTTTAAAATAACAGCATCAAATCTTTTAAAGCATCTTTATAATGTGACCCATCATTAGAGCATGTCTTTTACAAACTAAATGAAAAAAAAACAACAGCTATAATCATAATAGCACGATAATATACATAATGTTTTTAAAATAATATATTCATAACAGCTAGTAAAATGAAAATAAAAGAAGCCAAATTGTTATTCATACTTAACTGAGTGATTTAAAAACTATTAAATTCACTTCTTTTCTTTTCTTTTTTTTTTTCAAATTTGTTCCAGACGCATTTTCCAAGTTCTGTTAAACTAAGTCAGTGTCATAAAGCTAAATGCCTAGCTATTAGTTACACCAAAAACAGCTGCAGGGCGGAATGAAAGCATTCATTTGAGTCACAATTTCTATTAATGTCTACCAAAGGAAGATGAACAACCACAAAACTTCATTTCCATGTGCATGCAAAAGGAGCTCGTCTTTGAAAAGGGAAACAAATGGCAAAGAGTGAAAGTTGAGCCCAAGACAAACTACATATGTAGAAGCTTTGTGGGTCATTTTTGCAAGACTTTTATTTCACAAAGTAGATGAATTACAACTTGCTCTTATACTGTCATGGGTTAGGGTTATCATCAAGATGCAGGCTAAACTGCCTATTAAGAGGGAGGACTGAACTAGAATAAAGTCAAAGGACGTGGCAGAGACTAGAAGGTGCTGAGCAAGTGCCATGTCAGCAAATGAGCAATCAAGCAGTCACCGTACGAGCTGAGAATGCTGCAATTACACCCATGCCCATCATTAGACCTACAACATGCACTGCATACTGTGTTTCTTCCAGAAACCTGAAAAACATTCTTGGACTTCTGAAAGGGAATGAATATTTGGGTTGGTTTAAATCAGTGGCGTGTCCAGATCTTTTAAAATGGGGTGGCCCAGGTGAGGCACAACTTTGTGCATGGGTGGCACCAATGGTTATGTTTTTTTTTTTGTTTTGTTTTGTTTTATCCCCAAGCCTTTTGTGGACAATGAAAAGCCTATTTAAAGGTAAATTAGTGTGGTGGCACCTGGGGTGGCCAATCAGATTCCAAGGGTGGCATGTGCTACCCCAGGCCACTCCCTGGACACGCCCCTGGTTTAAATTGACATTGTTCTCAGTGACCATCCATCTATAACTTGAGCAGAGTCCAACTGGTGACAGATAGTAACTGCTTCTTGTAAATAGACTACACATCTAACAGGTCTAGCAGCCAGAGAAACACTTGGACGTGAGCTCTTCCTTTATATTCTGTTCTTATGGATGTCAGCACCTCCTCATGTATTAATCAGAAATTGGGTGTGGTGGGAGGAGTAGATTTGATGAGCACAGCCAGAGAAGAAGCCAGCTTTGACAGTCAGAGAAGTTCTGCAAAAAATAAACCCTCTTACAGGTTTATGTGTCTGCTTTTTGCCAGACTTCTTGCAGGTTACTGTTGGCCTACTTTTTGCACAATTGTTTTAAAATAGAAGTTCATCATTGTATTTAATTTTTTTCGATACATTTGCAGACAATCTCTGGGGAATTAAGCTTTGGTGTTCCTGTTTCAGGAAGTAGAAGTTAGCCAGAGAAGTGGGGAGCAGAAGATGGCAGAATTTGGAGGCAAAGTTCTTGATATTCAGCCATCTGATTGGCTAAAAGCAATGCGACTCTACCACCGACACTGCTCTGCAACATTGTTGCTTTATCTCCACAAATAACACAAACCTGAAGGAGTTCTGCCATGTTGTGGAGTTACGTGTGCTAACGGTTAGCTTCTACTAACCGAGAGGTGCTCTACTCTCTCCTAGATGCTAAATCAACAACAACCTTCCTCGTTGCGAGGCAAAATGGGTGAGTTCATGAACGCTAGAAGTGAACACCCCACTGAGGCGGTTTAGGGATTTCATGAGAATGTCCTCTGAACATCTCCCATGTTTCAGGCATGTACGGAGGCCCCCAGATTGACCCAGGAAACACTGGAGGTATTAAACCGCCATATTGGCCAGGGAACACCTGGCGATCCTGCTGTAAGAGTTGGAGGAGGATGCAGCGGAAAGGGAGGTTTGCACAGTGTGCATAGTGGCGGTTTTACCATTAGGCACAGGTCGGTGGCCGCCTTGGGCCCCCTTATATTGGGGAGCCCCCTAACCCTGACCCCTGGCACCCCTCTGTTAATGCCACAATGGACTTTTCCTTTAAGACTCCGATGCACAAACAGGAAGTGATTGGTAGTCATTCCACTCCAATCCAGGTGGTGGCGATAATGCACCAAATCGTTGTCTGCCAAGTGCCATAAGACCACAAATAAGAATAAGAAGAGAAAGCAGAAGAAGAAGAAGAAGAAGAAGAAGAAGAAGAAGAAGAAGAAGAAAGGCGGGAGCGTTCGTAACAAACTCAAAGCGGTAGTCATTAAGCATGAAATGGAGTTATCCTAGTGGCTCCAATAAGAGAAAAAAACAGCTTGTTTCAAAAAAAGCTTTTATCTTCACTTCCGAAAGAGACTTTTTTCTATGTAAACATGAAAAGGAAGCAGAAAGGAAAGACAATGGAAAATGTTTAACCCTCCCACTGTCTTTATGGGTGACCCCGCCAGGAAAGTTCAATCTCAAATCATGTGCCACTAGCCTAGGTGTGAAACTGGACTCTGACCTTTCACTGTCTTCACAAGTCAACGCTACTGTCAAGTCCTGCTTTTTCCAACTCCGCCGCATCACTCGTCTTAAGTCAATCCTCAAACGCCCGGATCTTGAGTCAGTCATTCATGCTTTTATTACTTCACGTCAGGATTACGCAAATTCTGTCCTGATTGGGATTAATGCTTCAGCCCTAAGCAAACTGCAGAAGGTTCAAAATGCCGCGGCCAGATTTTTAACACTGACAGACGCATGCACATCACACCCATCCTCGCAGATTTACACTGGCTCCCAGTCAAATTTAGGATAAACTTCAAGGTCTTGTTATATGTTTACAAGGCTTTGTACTGCCCATCCCCATCCTATCTGACGGACCTGCTGACCCCGTATGTTCCCACCCGTGCCCTTCGGTCAGCAGATCATCTGCTGCTTGTTGTTCCGAAGGTTCGGTACAAATCACGGGGGAGCGTGCCTTCTCTTATGCAGCCCCAAAACTCTGGAACTCTCTGCCCCTCCGTGTGCGTCTGGCTCCCTCTGTTAGCAGTTTCAAGTCGGCCCTGAAAACGCACTTCTTTAGCATTGCCTTCCCTCCGTGACACTTTTCATAAAAATCTAGCACCGGATTTGAGTTTTTAATTCCATTTTTATGATTCAGTTGCTCACTTTTTGCACCTCGCACCATCTGGTAGCTTATTTCGTTTTATTTGTGCCATTTCAAATTTTTTTATCATTCGTCGCATTATTTTATTTTTTATAGTGCTGTTAACTGTTCTCCTATTTTATTGTTTTTAGCAGGAATTTTTATCTCCGACTATTTATGCTTTGTTCTTGTGTATTTTGCCTGTTCTTATTGTGTTTCTTGTTCAAGCATTTGGCTTTTTTATGTACAGCACTTTGGTTAGCTGCCATGCTATTTTGAAATGGTGCTTTATAAATAAATATGGTATGGTATGGTATGGTATGGTATGGTATGGTATGGTAAAGTTGACCATTGAGCAGGATTGATGGTTTATCCCTTGAGATCTACGTGGCAGGGGTGAGGTGGTGCTCACTCCTCACCCCTGCCACGTGGACCTCAAGGGATAAACCATCAATCCTGCTCAATGGTCAACTTTCCTGGCGGGGTCACCCATAAAGATGGTTTTAGGGTTAAAAGAGGGAAACAGACCAAAATTAAATCTAGAAAAAAAAGGCAAAAGCACAGGAGCACTAACACAAAAAGAAAGCAGTGAAAGAGAAAGCGCTCAAAGGGAGAGAAAGACAGGAAAAAAGTGGAGGACTGAAAAAAAAAGGGAAAATAACTCATGGCAGAAGAGGAGAGAGTTTTGCAAATCCAGTTAAAGGTAAGATTATCAAAAATTTAGTGTCACGTCTTTGTTCGCCTTGGACCCCAAATTGCTAAATCCGCCACTGAGTGTGCAAAATCTACTCCACTGTATTGTACAGTTTTCTTTGTTTTCTTTTACCAGAAAACTATAATACAGGTTCAGTTCATTCCAAAAGCATCAAACTGCTCAGACATTAATACGACTCTTCATTTTATTTTGGCATGCAGACGCACTAATTGTGGGTTGATTAAAACCGTTATTTTTCAGTCTAAAAATGCATTTGACTGATGAGTTCTGAAAGGAAACGTTCCTAATTTTCCCTCCAGTAAGTACTGGGCTTCTAGTTTGTGGCTGACATCATTAGCATCCTTTGATCTAGTCGTGTGGTTCTTGCTTGTGGTGCTGGGATGGGCCGGGATGAGGGGCCTGGAATGAAAAGTCAATAACAGGGCTCAAAAAGCGTGCTGCAAAATGTGAACTTTAAAGAAAATGTAATCATAACTCAGAGGAATTGGCCTTTAATTAGACACCGTATTTGAGTCTGACAAGCCTGCTCAAATAAAAGGCAGAAGGTGAAGGAGCAAGATGAGATTTAATGGATTTGACATCTGAAAACGTGCATTTAGTCAAATCTCTTGTGCTCTTCATGTGGGTTTTTTTCTATCCTGTATTTCAACCCTTTGAAGATCCGAACAGTTTAAAATCTTCACAACATACTGAAACATGTCTCAAAGATGTATACATACAATAAATAAGAATTAAAATTTTCATTCAAAAGGAGACTTTTCAGGTTTTAAAAGTGGTTTTAGGCCTCAGGTTCCAA